ATTTTTTTTAATAATTTTTATGTTTTTTAATAATTTTTTATATTTTGTTTTTCAGATTCTTTTTTTATAAACCCTCGTTTTATGATTTAAAAAAGTTTGAATTTGAGTTGAAATCGTATTGGGTTAATAAAAATAGTTTTTTAAGTATAGTACTAGAATAATATATTTTATTATAAATATAATTTTAAAGAATAATGAAACAGTAAATAATTAAATTTCTTGTTATACAACAAACTTCATAATCAAAGAGTAATGTATGAAAAAACGGGAAATTCTAGTAATGATTAGTAGTAGTTAATAATTTCTATTTATTCTAAAAAAAAATTGAAAAATTGACAACGAGTTGAAATGTAAGAAACGTATGTGTGTTTCGAGTGAACAGAAAGTTCTATTTGTCTTATTGTTGTGAAGGAAGAGAAAAGGACGGAAAAAAGAAACGGTTATCTAATCGAAGGGTATTTAAAGGATCTTCAACTCTTCTTTATAACTTAAATGAGACGGTCATATCTTTCAGTTTTTGAGCCAGCATCTCCAACAAGTTTTGAAGTGTTTGATGGAAAGAATCCAAGAAAAAGAGTTCAAAGAAAGAAAAGATGGTGTCAGGCTATTAAAATGAATGCTGTAAAAAAGTTTTATGAATTAGGTTTAACGAAAGCAGTTCGTGTATTAATTGAACAACATCCAGAGCAATACAAAGATTTAACTCCATCAACATTACAATATTGGGTTCAAATGCTATCTCCAGTTCTTACAACTAATTAATTAAATAGGTAGTAAAGCTAAGTTTAATACTAATGTAATTTATTTTTCTTTGTTTAAATTGAATTAAATTTATTATAGAAGTTGTTTTGTATGACGTTAATACTAATTTTGTTGTTTCATTCAAATTTTACGATTAACAAGATTTCGGCAAAAGAATATTAAATAACAAAAGAATAAAATAATTAGATAACAAAAATGTAGAATTAGAAACAACAAAAAACACTTTAAAATAATCAGACTTCAAATAGAAAGTAAAGACCTTTGAAAATGTTAAAATTATTTAGAAAAACCCTGTTATAACTGCCAATATAATTCTATGAAACCTGAACACCCTTACAACCCCTTTGTTACTACCCCAAGAACTTCATTAAGACGTAGACCGATATATGCATTAACATTAGATATTTCATTGACATATAAGAATGAAAATATACAACAAATAACACAAAAAAGTAAAAAAGTTTTATCACGAATGATAGAACCATTTCATAATGGTGGGAAAGACAATGCAAATTATGAACTAATTATTTCTGTTGATGATAATATTGGTTCTGCTTTTTCTAAAGAGTTTGTTTAGAAATACTTCTAGATAATTGTGGAAATAAATTAAATGAGACTAATTATTTTTGTAGAGGTGAGACATGTTGTTTTATTCCACAATCAAGGTATGTTGTGATCTCTGCACTTGGAAGTGGTACTTTTGGACAAGTTTTAAAATGTAGGAATTGTCAAGATAATAGTCTTGTAGCAGTTAAAATACTTAAATCAAAACCAGTGTTCTTTAGACAAGGAATGCTTGAAATTGCTGTATTAACTGTTTTAAGAGATTTGGTTGATCCTGACAATAAATATCACACTGTTAAAATGTTAGATTATTTTCTGTTTCATGGACATGTTTGTATTGTCACAGAATTGTTATCAATTAATTTATATGATATGTTAAGAAGTAACAAAAATAATGGAATGGGATTAACATTTAATAGACATGTTTTAAGACAATTATTAGAATCACTTCATGGGTTAACTACAATGAATATTATACATTGTGACGTTAAAACAGAAAATGTATTATTAGTTCAAAATACAAGTGACATTAAATTGATTGATTTCGGTTCAGCTTGTTTTGAAAGATCTACATTATACACATATATACAATCAAGACATTATCGTGCAATAGAAATTATTTTAGGATTACCTTATTCATGTGCAATAGATATGTGGTCATTTGGTTGTGTTGCAGCAGAACTTTTCTTGGGAATTCCATTATTTCCAGGGGAAAATGAGTATAATCAACTTGCTAAGATTATTGATATGTTAGGACCAATTCCGGATTATCTTCTTCGTAAAGGAACAAAAACTGAAAAATACTTTAACATGGTTCAAAAGGGAAATGAAGTTACCTTTAAAATAAAACCTCCTGAACAATTTGAAAAAGAAAATAATTGTAAATTACAAGAAAATAGAAAGTATTTCAGATATAAAACTCTTGAACAAATTTGTCAACATGTTCCTATGCATCGAAATGCTTTTGTTCATGATAATGATCAAGTTTGGAGGGCATTATTACATGATTTTTTAAAGAAAACATTAGAGTATGATCCAGCTAAAAGATTAACACCATCAGAAGCATTAACCCATCCTTTTATTAAATCAAAAACAAAGCAAGAACTTTTAACTTTACCATTACCATTAGTTCCACAAGATATTCCTTTAGAAGATGTTGTTAGAAAGGTATATGGAGGTCAATACACTTTAAATTATCTTCAATCTAGAGACAAGTTTTTTTCTGTTCCTCATAATTATTTTACAGCATTCATTCGTTCTCTAAAATGTGGATATGTTATGAACATACTTCATATTAATCCTTTTCATTTTAAACCTTTAAAAGTTATTGGCAGAACAACATTCTCATGGCACAATATGGCAGAAGATGAATCACTTATTTCTTGGGGGTCTTCTAATTCAGATTCTGAAGACCCTTCTCGAGCTCGTTCTGCTTCTTCACTTCAATCACCAAGTACTTCTCAATCACCACGATTATCATTAAGACCTCCACCAAATGATCCACGAAGATTAACAACAATGGTTCGTGATTTTGGATATTTTGCATCACATGAAAGATATAATAATTACTAACAACATAAATATACACCATTTTGTAACTATGAAATAAAAATATAATTGTAATTGTTTTATATATCAGATTTATTTATTTTTGTTTTTTTTCACAAAAAAGTTTTCCTTTAATTCAATCCACTTAAAAACGGATTTTTAACAAAAATAATAAAACTAGTCCCTTTTTGTTCGTTTGGCTTCTTTTTGATCTTAAATATCAGTACGCATCCTCTTCAATGGAAGATAAATCAATTTTAAAACAATATATTCCAATATTGACTGGTATTCCGTATGATGAAAATATTGCCTTAGACTCTATTATTTATTCACTAAGGGATGACATTGCTTCATTATTTACATTAAAATCTATTTCTGTTACATTTTTTTCTACTTTAAAACATTTATTAACTCTTAATAATATGATGAAATTTGATTATTTAGCAATAAGAAATTTAATCATTACTTTAAGGCAAATCAAACCATTAGATACTGAAGGACTTGCGGCTAATCCATTATTTGTATCTGGTGTTGATATACTTACTTCAATTATTAAATATCATACTTCTCAACAAGTTATTCAAGATTTAATTAATTTTTACAATGAAATTCCACCAATTCATTCTTCTTCATTATTAGATTGTCTTATTACAAAAAATAATAATTCTTCAGAAGTATATTATTCATTGAATGGGGTTGCTTCTTTTATTTCTACTGTAATCAAAATTGATTCAATCCCACAAGAATGTTATACTATTTATACTCAAATTAGATTTCATGACATTCATCCTTTAGCCACTCCTTGTATTTTTTCTTTTAATGCTAATAATTATTATTTTTCTCTTTCTATAGATGGAACAACACATTTTTTAGAATTAGAAATTAATGTTGTAGCTTCTTCTGATGTATCATCTGTTACACCATCAATCACACATATCAGAAATACATATAAAACAGAATTAAAAGTACTTCCAGATAAATGGAATGAAATTTCGTTAGTTCATTCACATGACTCTAATTCTATGAAAATTATTCTCAACGGTGAGTCATCAAGTGGTTTTGGTGTTCCTTATTTTTCTTCTAAACAAAAACAAGCAATTATTTCTATTGGAGGTTTGGACTCTAAGACATACTCTTATTTTAATGGAGATATTAGTTCATTAGCATGGTATTTCAATCAACTCACTCCTAGTGGTGTACCTAGTTTATTATTATCACCAAAGCATTATGCATCAATACCTAGTCATTCTTTTATTAAACCATTAAAGTCAATGAAGAATAGAGTTGTTTCTAAAGAAATTAAAATAATAGAGTATACAATTTGTACCCCAACTAATATTCTTGTTGTTGTAACACGGTCTTTAAGTGATGTGTTTTCAACATATGGAGGGGTATCAGTTTTTTTACCACTTCTCAGGAGTGGTTCTAATACTAAAGTTACCACAAATATTGGTAAAATTCTTCAATTATTTTTACATTGTAAAGTAATTGATAAACGAGTTGCAATCACTTTAATTGTTGAAACAACAAAAATTGCTCAAAACTATTTGGTTTCAACGTCTATCATAGATGACTTTATTAGTTTGTGTTTATCTTTGATATCAAGAGGACATTCTGCTATAACATTAATTCCGTTATTATTAGATATCAGGTTATGGAGAGGAATTGAATATCTATTTGAATATTATATAAAACAAATCATTTTAAGATGTTCTTCTATTGATAAAGGCTTAGTAAAAGGAGCATTAACACCTGAAATTATATTATCTATTTTAACTGATAAAATATGTTCTTCTAATGAGAATTGGAAATGGAAATATCTAACTCATCTTTCAAGTTATTTAACTCCAACAGCTCTTGGAACAGTTTTCTGTATACTTCAAAACCCTCATTTATCCGTTAGTGCAATAGAAAATAGTGTAGGAATAATATTTTATTTGTTAAAGAGATATGGCAATTTATCTTCCACTTTAAATGAATATATTGATGTTTTTATAACATTGGCACAAACTTCTAAGACAACCTCTTTATTGGTTTGTAAAATGTTTTCTTTACTTCAGCCTACATCAGACCAACTAAATCAAATTTGCAATGTCTTAAAAAAATATACATTTGATTATGAAGTCTATTCTTCATTAATGCAATGTGTCTCAACATTAGTAACTGTTCCATTTAACTCATTTAGTTCAGCCCAAATAGAGACTATTCAAAATCCATATTTCTTGTATATTTTGTTTACTTTATTAACCACAACTTATTGTATAGAAAATAAAATCATTGATGACCTTATTTTATTTTCATCAGAAATCCTTCATTCTATACCATCAAATTTGATTATTGAATTACTTAAACTAATTAAGAGCCAATTTAGTGGATTTACTTCTATAGATACTAACAACATAAAGTATAATAGTACTTGTAAATTGATGAAATTTTTAACTAATGTCATTATTGCTCGAGGTTATGATACTCTTCACATTGTCATTTCTTTCTTTATTTCACAAGTAACAAATTTGAATGATCTTTATATAATATCTTATTCATTCTTAAATAGTATTATTAATAAAATTAATGACATCTCAGCTGTTTGTTATATAGAATTAATTGCATTTATGTCATTTGTTAACTACCAAAAAGAAATTCCTATTGTGTTAATTAATGAATATGTTAAGGCAATTCCTTATAATTACTTTGTTACAATGAATACACTTCGTTCCAAAAAGGAATATGAATCACTTTTTTATCTTCAAAGTTATATTTTCATACAATGTCTTGATGAATTTACATTATCTATGATTCTTCAGTTGTACCCTCCCTATATCCCTCTAAGTTTTTGTGAGTTGATTATTCAAGCAACCAAACTCAATCCTAAACTACTTCAAATTTCATTAAACAACTTTTCATCTGTAACAACTTCTGTTGAATATCAAAGGTTAATAGAACAATCGAAAAATCCATCTAATTCTGTTACTAATTCATCATTAAAACAATTCATTAATTCTATTATTCTAAAATATAAAGAAAATCATAAATTAATTGTAACTGAACCAGTGTCAATACCTCTTGTTAATTGTTCAGTTTCTTTATTACCAATTGAAGGACATTACACTGACATAATTACAATTGATAAAATCAAACAAAATGAAATTGCTAAATGTTATAGAAAAACAATGAGATTAGCTGCCTTATGTAATCCATTCTTTCAACTTTCATCAACAGTATTTATTGGATTTATTACTAAGTTTTTATATCCAACAAACCCAATATTCTTAACTAAAAGAGTTACAGAACCTCCAACAAAATTACTTTCATATGAAAACCTTTATATCCCTGATAAATCACAATTTAGTAATATTCCGTATCAAGGAGTTGATGCTATTGATTGTGTTATTATTAAAACATCAAATAGTATTTGTTGTAAAATGACGTTCAACAATGAGCTAAAAGAAATTAAGCTATGGCAGTTAAATACATACCATGTCATTCAAGTAGATGATATAAGAGAAATATTTCCACGAGTACATAATGAGGTGTTATGTGCTATAGAATTAATTCAAAGAAGAGGATGCCCGTATTTTATATCATTTGAAAATGAAAAAACATACAGTATTGCTATGCAAAAACTTAATTTATTCCTTGAAAAGTTCAAGTCAAACGTTACTATAATTACTCCAAATAAAGTTAATGGGTTTTATCTCAAACTATGGGTTGATGGATTATTATCTACATATGAATACATATCTGTATTAAATTGTTATTCAACAAGAAGTTTAGAATCTGTGGATATGTATTACGTCTTTCCATCAGTTGAAGACAGTAAAATAACATCAAATGTAAATGAAAGTTTTATAGAACACTCAGCAAATACTTGTTGTTTATTGTATACTCATATGCCATTTACTAGGATATTACCATTGTTTCAATTAAGAGTTGAACAACCACCAACAACAGTAAGGGATATTAGACTAATTACATGTAATTGTGTCCCACAAGTTTACGCATCACAAAAAATATATTCAGGAATGGGAGGGTCTGAAGATGGTATTTGTTATGGTAATAAACCAACTCTTACAAAAAGTTCTAATTTGAGAAGTATTCAGTTAGCCCAAAGCCCAAAGTTTGGTTCAAGTGCATTAGAAGTTGTTTATAAAAAAAGAAAAGAACTAGAGTCACCTGATATACAAAAAAAACTTGGAGAATGGTTAAATATAAACTTTGGTAAGAAGAGTCTTACTCCAATAAATAATATTATTCTTAAAAGAAAAAAGTGTATTGATTTCTCTTATAACAAGAAAAGTAAAGAAACAAAAATTAGTGTTACCAAAGAAAATCAATACTTAACATCTTCTGTTATTGCGATGAATATTCAAAGAAATCTTATTATACAAACAGAGACTAATGATATTATAACAGGAGAAGGAAAAGATGTTAGAACAAAAGTTGTTAATAATAAAAGTGAATGTAAAAGAATAATTTGTTGTGATAGATTTAAAAATCGGGTGATTGCTTCATATCAACTTAATGCCGATGTTATTACATTAACTTGGAAAGATCATATTAATACTATTAAAATAGAAAGTATAATTTCTAGTTGTTATTTAATGGAAACAGAATATATTACAGATTTAGAAATGTTTATTATAACTAAAGCAGGAAGTATTATAATATACCGAATCTTTTTAGATGATAGGAATAACGAATTAAAAGTAAATTTGGCATTTACTATTTGTGTGGGTGAAAAAATTAAACACTTCTCTGCTTGTACTTCATTTGGTTATATGGTTTGTAGTTGCTCATCAACAATAGCGTCATATTCTCTTCATGATGGAGCACCTATATATATTGTACCAACTTCAAGCAAACTCTTCTGTTGTTCAGCACAAGGTCAAGTTTATGGAATATCAGGAAATGTAATAACATGCCATGACAGGTATGGTGAAATGTATAACATCTTTGAATTGAATCATCTAAAAACAAACAAACCATTAAAAATTGGTTGTTTAACTTGTGGGTATGAAGACATTATTTTCATTGCTACAAATTATGAAGTTATTGCATTAATTAATAGAATTACATCATTTGATGTACTAGAAACAATTCAAGTAAACCAGTATTATGCAAATTATTCTATTGTTGATCTTCTTGTTCAACCAACTATTGGAACTGCTTTTAATCCATCAACATGGAACGTTTATCTTCAACTAGTAAATAATGAAAATATGATATCTACTTATTGTACACTTCACGTAGATTGTTTTAAGATAGTAACATTGAAATGAACATTGTATTTTTAATTACAATTTACTTCCACTTTCTTTCAACTTTCGTTTTTCTACTAAAATGAAATGACTTTCTCAATTTTATAATAACAAAACTAATAATGGATGAAAGTTTCTACTTTTAGAACTTATTATTTTAGTTTGCATTAATTTGAATGATTGAAATACACCGAAATGACAGAAAAAATGTTTTTCTTCCTCATTCTAATGAAAGCCTTGTCAACAATAGATACAGAAAAGACACTAAACTCGGAGAAGGTACTTATGGTGAAGTTTGTAAAGCTGTTGATATTTTGTCAAATACCTTTGTTGCTCTCAAGAAAGTTAAAGCTGACCAAGAAGAAGAAGGAGTACCTTCTACAGCACTAAGAGAAATAGCAATCTTAAGAGATATTTCACATCCTAATA